GCTGATCAGTTTCAGCAGCAGCTGACTTGGGGACGCTTGGGTTTCTTAAGTTGATTCTGTATGTAAGTCGGAACTGGTGGTCAGTTTCAGCAGCGGCTGAATCTGGACGGCAGTTCCGACTTATATACAGATTCAACTTAAGAACAAACCTACAGTCCCTATCTTGTACGTAACCCAGGGACTGCCTGTAGTTGGAATTTTTTCATGCCCATAGGCAATGAGTTATATGAGCCCATGGAATCCTGGCACCAGGAATATTCCTGTCCTGAGGTTAGACTCCATCAAAACTTCGTGCCTGCTTCCCCTACGCCCAGAGCCCACCAGTCCCCATATCACCCGGGTGATTTAAAATGCCCCGGAGTCCCCAGCTGCAGGGCAGGGGAATTAAAGTGGCTGACTGCCACTCGCTTACCCTGGCTGCTGGCATATGCATTTCTGCAGCCTTGGGGAAGTGGCTTGGGGTCTTTCTTTCCATTTCCCCCTGATTCTTTACTTTAAAATGGTATTTTAATATTCTGATAATTCAGAACAGCTTTTCCTTTTTTAATCTTAAACTTCCTGTTTCCTTATTGTAAGAATTCATATGGAGCTATTTCTGGTATTACAGCTATTGTACTCTGTTTATAGGGTGGAGGAAGTCTCTAAAAATAATCAATCTATCCTGTGTCTTTCTATAAACATTGTGTATGTTGATATCTTTGGGTCTGCAGAAAATAAATGCATTTCATTAAATAGCGGTGCCATTTTAAATTACCATCAAAGTCATGTAACTTTTAAGACAACTACTCAGAGGGATTTGCTGGCAATGGGTCCAGAACAGAGCTCAAAGAAATTTTATGACCAAAACTTTTTTTGGTGAAAACCACAGATTTGGTGGTGCCCAAACATTTCAAGAATTCATGTCAGTTTTGCTGAATGTTTTTGGTAAAAAAAATCATTTTTTATATTTTTTACAACAAATTTCATTCAAAACATGACTTTTGAATGTTTCTTTAATTTTATTTTTAACGTGTTTATAAAGTTAAACAAATGGTTGAAATAAAAATAAAAGATTTAACTGAATATTTTTCAAGTTGCAAAAATTGAAAAAAAAACACATTTTGGGGTTTTACTTAAATCAACATTTTTTTTTTTTGCATTTTTTGGAATTTCCAGCAAACTGAAAAATCTGTTACTTACCCAGCTCTAGTCCTGTATGAGCCAGGCAGCCTTCTCTCTACTGCCTGAGATTTTATACTCCACCTGCCTAGAACAGCAAGTCTCCACTGGCCAACATAGTGTGGGCTCAGTTCCAAAGTTTGGTGGAGTGTGAAAGCACATTTTTGAGAAGAGGGTAATAAGCTAGTTAAGGATAAATAAGTTACATCAGTCTAGACTTGCTCAGCGAGTACTCTTGCAGGCCATCGCACCGTACAGATGTAGGGTTTATAAATGCACGTTGCAGGTGACTGATACACAATCCTCAGATATAATAGTTTGAAGTGAGTATAATGCTCAGGAATGGTGCCTGACCTGACTGGGAATTGCAGTGTCAGCCACAAAACACATTGCGCATGGGACAAATGCGGCCTTCCCCTACTGATCTATCAACATACCTCAGCCCTACATGAGTGACACCACCCTGAAGAGTAATTCTTTCTCTGTCCTCAGCTGAAATTGCCAACAGTGTAAATGTAAATAGTGATACAGACCTGTGGGGATAAGCGCCCCTTTCAGCATCCCACTGATTTCATTGGGCTATACCTGTGTAACTGATAAGGCTGCGTCTAGACTGGCAAGTTTTTCCACCAGCTGTCTACACTGGCTGCTTGAATTTGCGCAAGAACACTGACAATCTAATATAAGATTGTCAGTGTTCTTCCGCAAATACTATGCCGCTCCCGTTCGGGAAATAGCCCTCTTACGCAAATGTATTTGCGCAAGAGGGACAGTGTAGACAGCTAAAAACTGTTTTGCGCAAAAAAGCCCCAATGGCGAAAATGGTGATCAGGGCTTTCTTGTGCAAAACCGCGTCTAGATTGGCACAGACACTTTTCCACAAAAAGTACTTTTGCGCAAAAGCGTCCGTGCCAATCTAGACGCTCTTTTCTGCAAATGCTTTTAACGGAAAAACTTTTCTGTTAAAAGCATTTGCAGAAAATCATGCCAGTCTAGATGTAGCCATAATGAACAGGGGCCAGATTCTGCTAAGAGCTATATGCTTCACGCTGCCTTCACAGAAGCCCAAGTCCCTTAAAAGAAGGTCAGATGGGGTGCAGAGAGTCCACATGGAAAGGAAAGACAGTTGTGAAGTGTGGTCCCTCCATACAGGTACCTATCTCCCCTCTGTAGTCAAACGATGAGACCTGCAGGGAGACTGGCCAAAGTGTGGAGTCAGGGATAAGGATGTTAAATTTAACCAAAGAATCGACTAGTCAATGGATTTTCCATCGACTAGTCGATAAGAGGGGAGCCACAGCAGGGTTAGCTTCCAGCCCGGAAGCTCTGCCTTTTAAATGTATTAAGCGCGTATCAGCTCTTAATACATTTAATGTATTTTACATTTAAAAGGCTGGTGCGCAGCGGGGGGGAGGGGGGAGAGACAAAGCAACTAGTTGAGGGACTAGTCGACTTATCAGATAGTCGACTAGTCGCTTACATCCCTAGTTGGGGGAACAGCTATTGTATGCTTCTCTGGAAGACAGATGGAAGCTATAATATTGTAATAGGTTACAGCTGCTATGAACTGATTCCATCTCTGTTCA